AATATTAATATTTTAATTTTTATTAATTTTAATTATATACTTAAATAATTTCTAAAATAACTTAACAGTAATTACAAAAGTAATCTTTATTATTTCTAAAATAAATTAGTATTAATTAAAAGAATCAGTTCTATATTATATTTCTATCATAGATCGATATATTGGTATCTAATATAACATAATTAGATACTAAAAAAGTATTTAAAATGAGTTAATAGTGACTAAAAAATTAATTATTATTTACTTGTGTATTTTAATTAGAGATCAAATATTTTTGTGTCAAATAATTTAACGGTGACTAAAATATTAGTTTCTTGTTATATTTTTATTAGAGACTAATACATTAGTTTCTAATATAGAACAATTAGATACTAAAAAATATGGTATCTAAATTAAGTTAATGGTGACCAAAATAGTCCCTCTCTAGTAATATTTAAATGCTGCCATAATTTCTTCTATTAAACCGACTTAAGTAACTTCAACTAGAATAGTATCGCCTACTGGAACAATGATAAAATCCAGTAACAAGAATAATTCTTTTCTGATGTGACTGATCAGACAATACTGCAGCCACAGAGCATACTAAGAAATTTTCTCCGATACTATACCAATGTACACCACAGCGGAATAATAAACAACCTAGTGGCTCTGATACCACTGTTAGGTCCAGAGTAGGCTTAATAGTTACTCACAGCTAAAATAAGAGATGAGTAAAAAAGAGACAAGGGAGAAAATAACCACAGTAAAAATATTATTTACTGAAAGGGAGGAAATTACAACACTTCTCTCTCTATAACTTACTCCTTTGAATTAGGAGACTACTACTACCGAGAACAGATCTCAAGGTGTATAAGAGAGGAAGAGAGAAGAGAAGAAGATTTGGGATGAAAATTATGATTTTCAGCTTCCCTATTTATAGGAAAGTCCCAATGGCATTTTCGTAATTTCTCCTAAACTTTTAATATTATTTTATTATCATGTGGGACCCGCTTTTAATTTTAAATTAAAAGCCACCGAAAGTGGCATTGGCAGCTGGTGGCAGCTGTTCCCAACATTTATTCATGTTAACTAAGTGAAACATACATGTTACTAATATGAAACTTTGATTCTAATAAGAGAACAATAATTCTGTAGGTAGATTTTTTTTTGCTTGAATTATACTTATCTGCCAAATTTGATAATACTCATGAGCCAAATTCTAGTTAGAGGGATTATGCTCCTCAAGTCAGTGTTTTCGGAATATGAGCATAATGTTACTTTATTTCTTTGGGTGTAATTATAAGTTTGCAATTTGATTATACACTCATGAGACAAATTTGAGGTAGAAGGATTCGGATGCTCAAGTCGGTGTCTATAGAATGTGAGTATAATGTAAAAATTAGAGAGATACCTTAGGCATTGTTTTTGGCCCATTTATACGGTTCTCAGTTAAGTTATTTTGGTGTTTCCTGTGTGAGGTGGAGTGGAAATTGTCTCTCAGGTGAATATTGCAGGAATGGTTGCCTCTAATGGATTTTCGGGGCTATGATCAGGTGTTTTGCAGTTACATTGAAGCTTATCTTCTATTAGAAGGTTCATGATGTAGGGTTTTTTTTTAATAACTATGATATTGGTACGAAGTATGTATCATCAAAAATAATGACTAATTTATTCTGGTATAAGTTTTTAGAGCTTAGTTATTGGGTTTTGGTTATTCGGCTGGCTTAATTTGTCAAACTAGACCCAAATTCTCTGGAGAGTGGTCCAGAAGACTATTTAATGATTTTGAGTCACATTAAAAGCCTTTTGATTTGTGGGTTGCCTGTTTTATGAAGACTCTTGCGTGTTACTTTCAAATGTTATATGACACAGTCACCATGTATAAATGGTTTTCTTTGAAAATTTTAATGTTCTTTCAACCTTGTACGATGTTTGTAGATAGCTGACTTTATCGTGAATAAAGATGTTATTTTTCTTTAGCATGATTCATGATGGAAATAAGTAATCTTATTTTGGTTTTTGGTGTATTCTTTTTGCTTAAATTATCACGTGTAGTGCAACTGTTTTTGGAGTTTCAACAGAATCCATGCAGTTATCATATGACACAAGAGGGAACAGTGTGCCGACCATACTTCTACTTATGCAAAGGCACTTGTATGCTCTCGGAGGGTTGCAGGTTGATCACCTAATTTTTTCTCAGCTTTGCTTCTCCTTTACCCAATTTCTCATGGCGTTGAATTGAACAACTGAACACAATTTAAAATATGCCAAAAAGAAAAATGAAAGTCCTGCTTTATATATAATTCACCACTCTATATGATCTTGAAAGTTAAATTTACACTACTTGTATGCTCTTGCTTGGTTAAACAGTTAAATTTATCCATGCAGGCAGAGGGGATTTTCAGAATTAATGCAGACAATAGCCAAGAGGAGTATGTTAGGGATCAATTAAATAGGGGATTGGTCCCAGAAGATGTTGATATACATTGTTTGGCAGGACTAATTAAGGTATAACAATGAAAAGAAACATGGTACACGCTAAATTCTGTTTTGGTGTGAGGAGAGAGATGTATACACTATATATGATAATTTGATTTTGATATTCTTGTGCATTTCAAGGCTTGGTTTAGGGAACTACCTACTGGTATTCTGGATTCTTTATCACCAGAGCATGTTATGCAATGCCAGACCGAAGAGGATTGTGCTGAACTGGCGAGGCAGCTACCTCACACGGAATCTTCCCTCTTGGACTGGGCTATCAATCTCATGGCTGATGTGGTCCAAGAAGAACACCTGAATAAGATGAATGCTCGCAACATTGCCATGGTTTTTGCACCAAACATGACTCATGTGAGTTCCAATTAATCTTTATTCTTTGATTCATTGATCAAAATCAAGTTTTATTCTTGAACCAAAGTATTTTGTGCACTACTTGTTTGAAAGGAGAAAATAAGTGATACACTAACAGTATAAAATAATTTTATACTGTCATTCAATCACAAATCACTATTTATAATAATTTGTTAACTTTTATAATAAATAAAAGGTCATATCAACAATGATATCCGATTGGTTGATAGTGTAGTGCATAATCATTAAACTATTATTTGAAATTGATCATGCATATTGGTGAAGTTGTAAAAGCTTTAGTTCTTCCTTTTGTGTCTTGACACATTACTTGATCATTGTGACGGTACTTTTACCTCTAGGGAGGTCCTGATAGTGTCATTTTTGTCCATAAGAGTAGTAAAGATACCAATGTCATATAGTTTATCTATCTTATGGTAGGTTTCAGTTACAGAATTTAGTCTTAATGATTGCAGATGGCAGACCCTTTGACTGCATTGATGTATGCAGTTCAAGTCATGAACTTCCTGAAGACACTGACATTAAGGACACTGCGAGAAAGAAAGGATTGTGTGGCAGAATTATCTCCTGGATCTTGTTTAGAGCCTTCTGATGAAAACGGGGACCACAGTCTTTTGGAGTCCTGCCAGCAAGATGATGTAGACACAGAAAATGAAGAAGAAGCAGGGGAAACCTTTGCTGAGAAAACTGTGTTAGAATGTTCCCCTGAGTCCCTCCAAAACAAAAGCTCAACTGAAGGAGAATGTGGCAGTGTGATAGGCTCTTGTGAGAATCTGGTATGTGATGAGGACTTGTATTGTGAATTTCCACGCAAAGGAAACACTGGAAAGAGTAAGAGTGGCCAATCAAGTAATTCCAATGCTAAAAAGGGGACCAAAAAAGGCAGAGGCTTGCAACCTGTGATCCATGTGGCTGTTGAGAAAAAGGGTATTAGCAATCTGAGCTATATAGATTCAAGATCAGAAAGGATAGAAGCCTGGAGGTGAAAGAAGCATCACTCTGATGTATTGGAGTGTAATTTGATTCTGACATTGTGGCATTGTAATTGTAAGTTTGTTTTAAGAACAAGTTTGTGAAGTGGTTCAGATTTTTTTTTTTAATTTCCTCGGTTTGTTTAACTTGTCTGATTTGTAGAATGACACTATGATCAACACTGACATTGTACTGAAATAACATTTCATATGTGTGGGGTTACTTGTGTTCTCATTATTATTCCCGAAGCTGGCCGTTCACTTGCCAATGTTGCAGTGTATAAATTAATCACTTCTGGATTCTGTACCAATTTGCGAAATGCTAGGATGATAATAATATGGTATGCTAACTAATACCTAAACTCAGGTAGATGTAGCTTTTATTACATTTTATTTGCTGTAGGTAAAGAACCTCTATTATCTATATCACCATTAATGAAAATCTCTAACTTGTATGGTTGTTGGTTCCACAAAAGGAAAAACAAATTTGAGTAATTTCGTGCGAGGTGGCAAATATATAATAGATAAAAATAATAATTTTTTATACATAAATATAATAATAATACAAACGTTTTGAAAAGTTTATAGTCTACAGTACAGTGTACAGCACCATTCACCAAGCAGATGCTTATCCAATCATCCATTTTTTTTTTATTTCTGTTATCATTTTCATACTTATACCCTTTCCTTTTCCTATCATCTAACATTGATGATACACTGATTTCCTTGACATTAGTGGTGAAGGCTGAACCTCAACTTTTTTTGGAAATAATGCTATGATTGCATGTTGCAGCTCGCGGCCTCGTGGGAATAGATTATCATGTAAGATGACACGTTAGCCTCCTAAAAGGTGACAGGAGTATTTTGAATTATCTTGAGTCATGATTTTTCCCCTTTCAACTTATATTAGGTCATCAACTTACAAGTGTCAACTTAAATTCCCATTTTGATAGAGGGGTAGGACCTACCGAAGTAAAAGGTTTTTGCTTTTACTGCAGATACAATTTTTACTAACTTTTAATACATGAGTGAGTAGGATTTACTATATGTCAATCAAGAAGTTAGATACAAATGGTTAATATCTCAAATATAATGTTAAATTGTTTGAACAAATGTTTGAATTCGATTTTTGACAAAAAAAAAAAAAATTATTTACCAAATTTTATTTCCTTCTAAGTCAAGTGAGAAAGCAAAAAAAGATTGTGTTGTATGTCATGTTCTTATTCATTGACCTTTTAGACACTAAAAAACAAATTTATTCAACACGTTTCTGAACAATATATATATATGTATATCCACATGATTTTTTCATGAATTAATAAAAATAATGAATTAAAATCGTTATAATTTTATTAAAAATTAATCTTTGCAATTTTATGTAAAATTACTAATTAAATTATTAAATTGTTATTGAAATTGAAACATTATAATTTTTACGTATGATTCAAGCAATCTGCATAACTATTTACAAATAGTAATCAAGTTCCATAATTATACCAGTTTGTGTTAGAACTTGTAAGAGTGTCTATTAAGATACAAATGATTAATTAAGGACTTGATTCCAAAATGTTCCAAGATAGTCAACAAAAATTCTTACTATCTTATCTTTCGAAAATGATCTACGATGTAAAAATGAGACAGTTACAAGAGGTACCATCATTCTAATAGGCTAATTAATTCAACATGTTCAGAATATTTCTTTATGGGTGTTTAATGTGCAACCAAGAATATCCATAATCTGTGTAACTCAATAAGTTCAATTTCTATTGTGTGTGATAACTTGTTGGATCAACGATAGTCTTTCACCCAGAGAGTTGGAGATATTTGTGGCAAGACCAAAAATAGCACGTGCTAGATCATTGAGAAAACCAAACCCATAATGCATCCAATTCCAATTCATCCATTTTTCCACCACATAAAACCAGCAAAAGTCCTTGGTCATAAAATAAATGTTGAACAATGGTTTGATGACAACGATCAAGTGCTTTTCGAAGTTCATCATCATGTACTGAAATTATAAAAGATTAAGAGTCTTTTGTTCAAACTTAGAAGTGCTTTAAAGAATTTTTTTATTAAAAAAAATCTTTATTTTTAATTGAGAAATTTTCAAGAGTATTTTTTTAACTTGTATACAAAGAGGCTCTAAAATGAATTTGAATAATATACAATTTGAGGTGATAGCTTGTGAACAAGCTTCTCTAACAACTTCCGACCAGCTTTTTGAGCAATGAAAAACATTAGATATATAATTAGTTAGGAACTTGTTAGTAGAGATTTACTATTTGTTGCTTATACATAGGTGTTCTGTAATATAATCTCATGTTAAGAATAAGACTGTTTTACACAATATCGGCTCATTGGCTGAAATAAATAAATAAAAATTACATAAAATAAATTATAAAAAAAAATTAATCACTAAAATAGGTTATTTTTGACACGCTAGCATTGACGTGGCATAGAAAGCGCAAGGAGAAGGGCATTTCGCAGATGGCGCCTCCCCCGTGCGTTTTCTTTTAATGACGTGGCAAAGGCCAATACAGAAAACGCCTCCCGTCCCATGCGCCTTCTTCCAACCTACAGAATACGCCTCCTCCCCATGTGCCTTCTTCAAACGGACCCACACGCTACATTTTAAATGTTTTAAATGGAAGGGAGGGTGAATAAAGATATTAAAAATTATAAATTAATATAAATGATTAAATTATATTTTATAAATAAATATGAAAATAAATTATTTTAATTTATAATTCTTATTAAAAATAATTTAAATTAAATTTTAAAAAATTGATTGACAAGTTCAAATCGATTTAATTAATTGTTTATTGATTTTATCGATATTGAATCAATTCTATTGTACTAATTCTTCACTGATTCAATACGAAAACATTTAGGACTTATTTTTGCTCATATCAGTCTAACTTACTGGGTTGGACAGATTTTCAAAACCACTAATTCGTTTCACTTATTAAAATGTAATCCGTTAAATTTTGAATCAACATATCCAACGGTTAAGAAAGCTCTGGCACACCCTAGAATCCGTGTGCAAAGCAATAAACAAGAAACAAGTTATTTAAGGGAGAAATAAAGGTTCTTGGAAAATGAAATTCAAAAGAATTGAAATGGTCATGTGTACAGTAAAAGCTGCAGAAATAAAGAAGATAAATGCTCTACACTACAATGTGACAACACAATCACGTGTTGATAGAAGCACTAGTCATATGGGAAGACACATATTTTTCTATACTTATTTACAAATAAAATTAAAATAAAGATAAATAATTATAACACATAAATTCTATATTTAGTTGTAAAAGAAAAATAAGTAAAAACAAAATATAATATTTAAAGCAATGAATTAGACCTAAACATTTTCTATTATAATATTTAAATTCCAAATAAAATAAACCTAATATAATACTTACCTGGATCACCTACTTTAGTAGTGGTAGAAAAAAATGAGAAACTCAATGCAAAACGCCCCACCACTTGAGAAACTCAGTGCAAAACACCCCACCACCTCGCGTTTGCATTTTAAAATGGAACGTAAAGGTGCAGTTTGAAGAAGGCACATAGGGGGGAGACACTTTCTGTAGGTTTGAAGAAGGCGCATGAGGAGGGGGGGAGGCGCCATATGCAAAACGCCCTCCCCCTGTGCTTTGTCACGTCACACCCTGCGTATAAAAAATTACTTACTTTGGTGATTAATTTTTTTTATATTTATTTTGTGTAATTTTTTTTTATTTATTTCAGCCAAAAAAGCCGTCGTTATGAGTTATAGCAATTCAAGTGACACATGTAATTTTTTTTAATGTTGGTGGAGCCATTTGAGTCTTATTGAAGTTGCTATAGCCAATAACAACTTTGTCAATGTCACTATTAAATGTAGTGACCAACTATTTGACACCACATGTTGTTCTAAAATTTATTTTTTTTATTTTTTTATTCTCTTAGGTTGCTATTGTCCACATGGTGTGTCTTATGTCATAAGCCTTATATAAACTGCCTTCTGAGCCCACTTGTTTGCAATGGATGCTAGTAACATTATACATTCGGTACTTGCATTTGATTTTTTTTAGAGATCAAATAACAAGTGATCTTAGAGGAAATACACATAAATGTTAAAGTCTTAAATTTTTTAGGATCGATGAAAGAATTTCATTAGAGTTCTTGAATTACAAAATTAAAGAGGTGATTGGAGTAAGAAACATTCAAAATATAAAAGTTCATTAACATCTTGTACAATTTGAGGAAGATAATGTTGTTGATTACTGTTCTCTTCAACTTATGGATGATAATGATGTAGATTACATGTTTGGTGTGTATAAAGAGTTTTTTTGGAGTTAGACCAATTGGATTTACACCAAGATTCAGAGAACTCTTAAAGAAATTACACAATGTATGCGTCGACCACGTATTCCTGATTAAATTATTGTTTGTTTATGTGATGAATTATCTGAACTTGAGAATGATACATCAACTAGTTTAGTTGATCCATAATATGTAATTTGATGTTGTTGTATTAATGATAAAAGTATGTGGGTCCAATTAGTATTACAATTAGTTTTCAAACTCGAAAGTTTTGAGTTTAAATCTTGACTGTAATATAAATATTTTTTTTTATAACAATGGGATCACTATCACTCATAACAATCCCAATTTTAATATTTTTATTTTTATGCCTAAAAAAATTTAGTCACTTTTATTTTGTTATAACTTATAACCAGTGTTTTAAAACCCGGACCGACCCGGCTGGTCGGACCGGGAACCGATGGTCCAGCCGGTCCGAATCTGAAGTTGGATCGGTTATGCAGTCGACTCGTTTCAAACCGGATTGAACCGGTCAATTTTCCGGTTCAACTGGTGAACCGGTGGGTCAAACCAGTTCAACCACTTTTTTTTTTATAAATTTTTTAAGGGACCATAAATCACAAAAATAATAATGAAAATTGAATCTCTTAATGAAAAAGCAAGGAGTCTTATTAAATATAACAATGACTACTTGTTCTAATATATTTGTTTGCAATATATACAACTTAAATAACTTTTATAGTATATTATTAATTTTAAATTATATATTTAATAATTCAATATCTATGTAAATATTACATATATTATTTTGTGATATTAATTGCAAGCATATTATATATGTACATATTATTTATATTTTTAATTTGTATTAATATACCGTTTAACATGTAATTTTTTTATGTATTTTTTTACAAAATAAAAATAAAAATAATTTTAAATAAGATAGAAAAATTTAAATTTAAAATAAGATATGAATTTATTAAAATTTATAAGTATAAATATATTTAATATGAATATTTTTTAATAAAAATAAATAAAAATCGAGTCATGCGGTTCAACCAGTGACCCACCGGTTCAACCTTTGACCCACTAACTCAATACTTTAACCGGTTCGATGACCGGTTCTGTTTTTAAAACTATGCTTATAACAACTAATAGTAGGTTGTTACTAATTATGACGACTCTTTCTTCATCATTAAAAAAAAATTAAATGTGCCACTTGAGTAGTTATAATCCATAGCATACCTGTGTAAAACAAGCACAAAGACATAAATAGTTATAAGACAACTTCACTTAAATAAATAATTTCAATTCTATAAAATTTATCCTAATTTATATACTTTAATTTCATCGTTCAATTTGCCACAAACCTCTTTATGCACCAAAGATCAAATATCTCATTTACGAGGATTAATGATGAGCAGGTAATGGTCCATTATGATGTTAGAATTTCTCTAAAATAGCATATTAGAATTCATGACGAAACAAGGCAACAAACTAATAACTCAGTTAAATCATGTGCAGGTAATCATGTGCTGAGTGCTGAGTGCTGAGTGCTGAGTGCTTACATAAAGAGTCCTAAGCCGCGGTGAAGATTTGAAGCTGGGAGGTGTTTTCCTGGTCAATGACGTCAAGAAAGACGGGGTCAACGGTGACGTGGCTATCCACGTGGACCTTGAAGTGGTGGTCCCACCAGGCGACCCTAGCGGTGCCGGCAATGTCCACGGCGGCGTCGAGAACCATCTCGCGGCTGGCGACGTCGTGGGCGAAGCGCGTGGCGTGGTGCGCGAGCTGGAGCGCGTGGAGGCGGGCGGGGAGGCGGAGGAGCTGGCAGGAGCGGGGGGGCTGGGAGCCGGCTTGGACCTGAGCGGAGCCGAGGAGGGAGCCGTGGTAGAAGATGGACATGGCGGCGGAGGAGTAGTGGATGGGGGCGATGTTAGGGTTGGTGACGTGGACGGTGAGGAGGAGCTCGGCGTCGAGGAGAGGGAGGTTGAGTTTGAGGGAGGTGAAGTTAATGGATATGAGGTGGAACGTTGGGTCCTTTGGTTTTGCTGATATTAGGGCTGTTGCTGCTACCGCTGATGCTGCTCCGATTATCGCCGAGCTCCAGCTCCATTTTACCCTTTTCCCCATTCTCATGCCTCTCTCATTTCTGTCATGAGGATGCTTAAGAAGTGGAAGAGGGAGGGGAAGGCTTTTACGATAATGCCCTTCTCTTATCACCACGTGCGTTTTACCGCTTTGCCCTCCACTTTCCATCCTAATTCATAACTTCTTTTAAAGCTCATTCATAACACTTCATTTATCTGGGATAAATAACACATGCTACATAATTATTAAATAATATATTAATAATCAGTTATATATATCTATACATGGGTGTAAAAGGTTTCATTATGTATGTAAATTTATAAACGTCTTATTCTTAGAAAAATATCCATTAACTTTATCAATAATTGATTTTTTACAAGAAATATTTTACTATTTTTATTGGCGTCTTCTTCTAAAATCATGTTATGCCTATTAAAAATCAATTCACGAAAGAAAATTATTTTTAAATAGATCATTTTCATCTTTGGTTATGTATTTTTCTTTCTCTATTATGGCTAAATCCAAACATATGTTTAAGCGATAATTATTCATATAATAAGAGAAAAATGAATTTTGAAAAAGGGGGAAATTGTGTCCCCCAAGATCTCATATCCTATGAATAAAAAAGAAAGTTACATTCATACCTATCTAATAATTGTAAAAATTACTTAAAGGGACCAAGTCAAATTTTCTTAATAAATTTATAACTTGGGCTCCAAGTCTTTAATGTAAGAAAAACTATAAGTTTGGCATACTTTTTTTTATACACAAAAATTGAATCTAATACTAAAAATTACAACTACTCACATTTTGCTCAACAAGTTAAACTCTCTAACCCAACTTTTTTTACAAGATGTGACTTCCACTAATCATGTATTATCTTAACATTGCAAGAATTGATTTTAGAAGTACTTGGTCCATATGTTTTATCTTACAACCACTATACCAAGAAGTTTGAGGATGCACACATAAATTCTAAAATGATTTGATATTTAGATTTCAAAATTTATATCTCTTAAATCATATATACAAAATTTTATATTAATCCAAGATGATTTGATACTTCATTCTTATAAAACAAAATTGACGTAATATATTCATTTCAAAATATACTAAAATATGAATACTTTGATTATCTTAAAGTTTTTGTTCAATTTTAACAAAATTTGATATACACATATAAAGTGATATGAACTTTTAATTTAACGGTTGGATTCACAAAATTCACAATTAATATAAAGTTATTGAGTGGTATAATACTTAGTAAAAGTTACACCGGTGTAATTATAACCCTTTCACACACACACACACACACATATATATATATATAGTGAATGCTAATATACTCCCACCTATTTTTTAGTTGAAGTATGTTAGTAACCTACACCAAAATTTTAGGATAAAAAAATCATTCATTTCTTTTAATTTAGTTAATTTGTACAAAAAATATTATAGTAATTTAATTTAATTTTAAAAAAATAAAACATTTTCTTTTTCTTATTAGCTTTATTCTCCAATTCATTTCTTTTTTTCTATTAATTAATTTTTTATTTGTTTAGAGAGAGAGGAAAGACATCATGAGAGATGAGAGAGAAATGAGTTAAAGAAAGACTTTAATAGGAGAGAAATAAATAAGTTAGAGAAAGAATTTAATAGAAAAAAGAAATGATTTGGAGAATGAATTTAATAGAAGAGAGAAATGACTTAAAAAATAAAGTTAATAAAAGAAAATAAAT